CACCTCGAGCATGGTCGCCGTCCGTTGCAGCGAGCCTTGGCCTTGTTGCACGCGAAGCACGCCACGTTCTTGGGCAGCTGGTAGTGGCTGGAGTTGAAGAAGCTCGTGTCCTGCCACCCGAAGCCCGACCGAGCTGCCCGCGACCTCTTGGTCGACGTCGGCAGCTCCGCCAGCTCCTCGCTCGACCGCTCCGACCACCATCTTGCCCGCACGTCTGCGCTGTCCACACACTGGTCCTGCTTGGCTAGCCTGACGCATCTATCGCAAGGGCGAGTATCGCTACATGCAGCCTTGGCTTTCGCACAAACGATGCAAGCTATGGGGACTTGCTTTCTTCGTTTCTCTGCAGGCAATGTGGAATTGCTCCGCATAATTGTAAAGGTTACTCTTGATTTGCTCAGTGGAAGGTGGCAGGTTTAAAGTTGGATCCTAAGCATTGCTTGCCATGGATGTTGCCCAGCAGAACAATCGAGGCTGTTGCATTTCTAGAGAGTCTGGCTTACAAGCCTACCTTGATTGCTTCCTTCACCCTCCGATAGATTCGTTGAATGACCTGAAACACACGCATTGCTTAACTCTGAAACCTTTAATCCTGCTTGAGTTCAACGACATTGGGCATGTGCAAGTCACGCCGAATGTTGGCTCTATTTGTTTCTGACCGTTAGGATAATTGTGATCTTTCATTTTCTACGTGCTTATCATAATCAATTATCTTGTACTCTCGGTCGAACTCGTACTCTCTCATTGTCTTGGCATGGCATTACCACCAGCTTCATTCCCTTCTCCAGTTCTCCCTCACTTTCTTTGGTTCTCCTCAATCTTGTTAACTCACAACCGAGTCACTCTGAATCCTGTCGCTCGCTTCCCCCCTGCCCCCTTCCCTCTTTCTGATCACCATTCTTCATTACCATTGCCGTCTTTCTCTGCCTCTTCTTTGACTATTCCTCCCTCTTTTCTGCTGGACAACTTTTGCAGTACATGTCATCATTGCCCATCATTCTGTCACCTCCTTTTACATCCCCTCTATCAATCATACAGTCTCTGTATCTACTTGTTACTTCCCAGTTGCACTCCCCCCACCCCTCCTCCTCTCTCTCTCTCTCTCTCTCTCTCTCTCTCTCTCTCTCTCTCTCTCTCTCTCTCTCTCTCTCTCTCTCTCTC